ACGTTGAACCTAGAGCTCATCCATTTGACCCAACCGACTGGCCAGTGAGGCTTTTCAAACCTCTCTGCTTCCTTTGTACTAGAATTATAGGCACATGGCAACACACCAAACATTCTACATAGGTTCTGGGGATCTGAACTCCTGAGCCATCTCTCCTGCTTCCACTGTCCTTAATTCATCAGCAAATTCACGAACCAAGCAGACTCGAGGAGAAGACCACAGACAGTTCAAGTCTGTTTAAAGACTACTCTCTATCTGAGATGCCAATGAACCAACTTGTCATGAAAATAAGAATTGACTACCCTGACAAAGCATATAACTAAGTGACCAAATAGAAGATGAGAAGAAATTTCTCTTTCATGAAACATTCCACTTGGTAGACATAGGTCAGAACTACTATGTTATTACTTTGCAAGGCCCAATTATTAGGGGTTCAAGTCAATAAACATTAGTATCCACTGATGGGGGATGTCCTTCTGTGTATAGTTTCTCTTACTGGTTGATGAATAAAGCATTGTTTGGCTAGTGACCATGCAGGAAAGACAGGCAGGGCTACCAGACGTGGAGAATTCTGGGAAGTGTAGGAAGAAGGCAGTCGTGATGTAGCAGGAAAAGGAGTTGCAGGTCCAGCATTCTCCAGTAAGCCAAGACCACGTGGAAATACACGGATAGTAGTTATGGGTTAATAATTAAGACAGAGATAGCCAGTAAGAAGCCCTAATCATTGACCAACAGTTGAATAATTAATATAGCCTCTGTTTATTTGGGAGATCAAGGGTGGCAGGACCCAGCCAGGACAAAATACCATATTACAATCCACTAATGTTAAAAAATAATAATAATTGAGCCACATAAGGCCTACAAAGCAGATTTGGAGTAATACCTACTATTTGTTCAGTTCATAGACCCAAATCCATGCTGAATTTTCCTAATCCAAAATGTTTGGGTCGGGAATGTTTTGAATTTCAGGGGTATTTCTTTTTCTTATTTTTTGGATTTTGGAATAGTATGCACACTTCAGCAGTAAAACTAAAGGTTTTGTTTGAAATTAACTACATTCAGACTTTGAAATGTCTGAATTTGGTCAAAGGGAAACACTTAGACTTTGGACATTTGTTCTAGGAGTGTTTATCAATGTCATTTTATAAGGATACACATGTGGAAGTCAGGAGCCAGAGAGGACAAAAGGACATCTTAAGCGGTGCCTCAGGAAACTCAACCCCAGAGATGCTGTGAAACAATGGCCTAGTTTGGCCAATAAATAAATGAGAGGAGTAAGAGTTAAATGGAATGTAGAAAGACTTTGTAAACCTGTCAGCCGGTTATGAGGAAGCAAGTGCTACTTAAGAGCCCAGTGAAGGCTGAGCACCAGGCACATTGTTGGTCCTGCCTGGTTACACTGATTTTCATGTAATATTACCGTGGTTCTCACTTATTAACTAAAACACATTGTCAAAATCACTCAGAGATGTTTATGGGTTAAATAACATAATGTGGGTTCATTTCAGATTGAAACTAGGGAGAAGGATTTAAGATGGTGTATGAGTAGCTGTCTCCTAGTCCTTTGCCTATTTTTTTCAGTTTAGTTTTATTACGTACACGCCTGTGTGTCTATGTAGAGTATGGGTGTGTGAATGTAGGTGCCCACAGAGGTAAGGAGTGTCAGATTCCTCTGGAGCCGGAGTTGGTGTGGGTACTAGGAACGCACTCTTTGTGTCCTCTAAGAGCAACGCATAATTATAACCTCTGAGGCATCTCTCCAGTACTCATTTTGTCTACTGTAAACTCAAATTCCTTATTAAAGTATTTATTTAAAGAACATCTGAGTGTCTGGCTATGTGGATAAAGAGATTTCCACTCAGGCATAAAGATCATAGCATCCACATTAAGTGCTGAGGCAGGCGTGGTGACCTATTGGTGATCCACTGTTCAGGAGACAGGGCACTCCCCAAAACTAACCGGTTATCCAGAGTAGCCTCATCAGGAGACTCAGGGCTCAACTCTGCCTCAGGAAACAAAGTGGAGAGAAACCTCATGAGGAAGGCATCAATGTTAGCCTGTGTACTCACATAGTCATGCACAAATGTGAACCCACACATGTGAACACACACACACACACACACACACGTTTAAAACTACATGTGCAAATATATAAACCATTTGGATAAGTCCTCAGAAACACTGGCTAAGTTCTCCAGTGCATACCACATTCTAGTCCTCCCCTTTGTCTTCATCTGCTGCCCACCACCCATAACTGGTCATCTACATTTATGCACCATTAGACCACTTCCCCACTGAGGACTATGGTTTCTTGTGTTTTCACATGTTTATAAATTTCTCTTTGTCCAGAGCGCTGAATCTCATTCATTCAGTCAGCTGGATTTAGACGTGGGGGGGGGAGGCGGGGAGAAGTGGGGGGGGGTAAAGTAGTGCTTTGATGCACACAGGTTGGACACAGCACCCTGCAGGGGTGGAGATCCACCGTTTGCCACTCCCGCCCCTCGATTCTCCCTACTCTCCCTTCTGCCCTATCAAGCTGGTAAACTGGATTGTATCTGCGGCTCCCTGTCTTCTGCCTCCAGATAGGACCACTGGGGGACCACCCAGTGACTGTAACTAAGAGAGGCTGTCTTTATACCAGAGCCATTTCCTGCCTACCTGGCATGTATCTCTGTCCTGCCTCCTGTTTTCTGAGTATGGATGAAAAAATGTCAGCAGCCAGTTTCCTGTTCCTGCTGCCATGCTGTACCTTCCCTGCCGTGATGGACTCTATTGTTCGGGAATCATTACCTAAAATAAACCCCTTGTTCCTGAAGTTGCTTTTTAACGCAGCAATAGAAAAGTGGCTAATGCCTCAGCTAAGGCTATAAACCTTGATCTTGAGCACAGAAAGAAAGCATAGAGCATTTGTTTTGGCCACTCAGGCCCTTGTAAAAGATCGTCTTCACCCAGACAGTATCTTACTCCTTCTACCTCACAAGCAGCATGATGAAACTCTGGTGTATATATATATTGTAACTACTAAGCAACTTTTTCTGGATCAAGGTATAAGTGAGAAAAAACAGGAGGAGTGCTTGGGGGGAGGTATACTAAACACCAGCACAGCCTTGTCACCTCAAATAGTTTTTCCTTGCACATATACTTTTTTAAAAATTTAATCTTGTTTTGTCCTTTTTATTAGCTTAGAAAGCCTTGGTGATAAGGGATGTTTTATGAACACCAGCTCTCAAAAGAAAATCCACACATAATTTCTTCCTTCAGTCCGTGTCCCTCCTTCTTAGAAGCTGGATCTTCATTTACCTGCCTTGGCATCTTCCCTTTCAAATGCTGATGGAAAGGTCAGTCTCACCTTGAGGGACGTTATCAATTGAAACACCAAATTCTTGCCATAGTCACAACAGGTTATTGTGTTAAAGTGCTTTAATTTGAGGTTATTGAGGAAGAAACCATTGTCAATCGCAAGATGGGTAAAAAAGGAGACCTAATGTTAATTGTCAATGTGACAATCTGTAATCACCTGGAAGACAGATTTCGGGGCATTCCTGTTGGGTGATTATCCTGTGACTGTGGTAATTGAAGCAGGAAGACCCATCGACAGCCAGGGAGTGCACCATTCCCCCGCTGGGACCCTGGACAGTATAAGTGGAGAACGGGGCTGAGGAGCAGAGTGCCGCCTCGTGGCAGATGCAGTGTCACCAGCAGCTTCCAGCTTTGGCTTGCTGCCTTCACTTCTCTGCTATGACGGACCTTACCCTTGAACTATGGCAGAGTTCCTTCTGCCAGGGTGTTTCATCACAGCAGCAGGGAATGAAACAATGACAACTGCACTTTTGTTTATTAAAGTAGAATACAACCTTCTGACCTTTTGTGGATAGGGGGCAGAGCAAGCCAGTGCTATCCCCAAAGGCACAAGAGGAGGTTTTATTTTGAGTTGTTGTACAAACTATGAGTTTATATAATAATTTATGTAATACAACATAAGATAAATAGTTTATATAATTCTTAATTGGTCAATCCTGATTGAATAAGTTGAATGGTTTGAATATACAATATTAAAGTATGAAGTGATGTGTATACTATACTATCTGGACAGTACTAAGGTGATTATAATGGTGTCTTTCCCATCTGTCTGCATTTTGTGATAATCCATACAGTCATCTCATGCTAAGTGAACATGATGAAACTGCATGTAAACAGCCAGTTTTTAAGTTAAATATTCATTTCCTCAGTAAGGCAGGGAAACCATCAGTCATGTGCTGCAGTTTTGTGTAAATGTTACACTATTTCTCTGCTGTGATGGCTTCATAAACACAAAATGCCATACTTTCCAGAAAGCAAAACAGATGTCTGAACTTCAAATAATTATGAGTAGATGCTCATACAAATGACACCACTCTTGTTTATCCTATGCATTTCTAAATATGTAGAGTTTAGAAGTTGGTAAACCAAGAGGGAAGAAAAAAAACTTTTATTTGAAAATAGTTTTCCTCATATAATATATGCTAATCAATTTCTCTTATACCCAAACTTCTCAGATCCTCCCCACCCATCCAAATCTGTATCCTTACTTTCTCTCTCTCATTAGAAAACAGACATCTAAAAAATAAAGTAAAATAAAATAAAAAGAATAGCACAACACAAACAGAAAAAAAGTCAAATGAAAAGCACAAGAAACAAATACAGATGCAGAGACCACACATTTGCACACACAGAAATCCCATAAAAACACAAAATCAGAAACAGAAAGATATAACAAAAGACTTGTAAGGAAAAAAAAACAAGCAAAACCAAAATGCTCAGACAGAGCATTATGAAACAAAAAACCCTCTGAAAGCACTATTGAGTTGGTTTTGTGTTGGCCATTTACTGCTGGGCATGTGACCTACCCTTGAGTAAGGTTTGTACACCCAGTAAGACTCCATTGAAGACAACTAATTTTCCATTGTGAGCAGTTAAAACTATTTGTGGCATACACACAATAAAATTGAGATATTGCTCACCAAAGAGGCCATGGTGAATCCGATGACTTCAATGTAGCCATCATCATGACGCTGGGGTTCAAAGTCATGGTGATCTCCAGGGTTCCCCCAAGGCATTGTGCCAGCACAATATCTGCAAACAAGGTCAGAATCAGTAAAAGCAACCTCAGTCTTCTCCTGATTAGCTCTGGGAATTAACTTAGATTCATGTACCAAGGTATTGAACAGTATGTTCATGACTACACAGGCGGTTTATGGTTCAATGTGTCAGATTATAAATAAGCTTTTTAAAAATTATTTCTAGTGGAGCTTGATGTTTATTAAATATAAGAACAGTTTGCTATCCTTGATGTATAACGTCAACTATGAAAAAAATGAACTTACCTCTAAAATATTATAACCTTGCAAAAATAAACCACAATCTTACAACAAAACCATCCTGTGGTAACCTTCTTTTCCTTCCGCCATCATTTGCCAACATTTCTCACTATAGGGTTTGTGTTTTCTATCTTATAAATTATCTTTAATAATTTAATAATTGTCTTAAACGAAGATAAATCCGTGCTAATCTTAAAGAGAACATGAACTAAGGTGGTAGCATTTACCGCTACATATAGAATTAAGACAAGAAACTCCCACAGGAAAAGAATAAATGCAAAGTACTTTAAATAAGGAAATAAAAGGTAAGGAATAAAGCATGCTTTGAGTGGTGGTGTATACCTGCTGTTACAGTACACAAGGGGCCAAGGGAGAAGGATTGTGATCTGTACAGAGGGATCTTCTCTCAAAAGAAAGGGAGGGAAGGAGGAAGGGGAGAGGACAAGGGTTAGGAGAGGAAAGGACAAAGAATAGATAAAATTGTAAAATCAGAGAAGCATTCACAGAAGGGGAGAGGGCCAGGAGCAAAGAGGAAAGTATGACAGGAGGAATTAGCAGAGGCATTTCCTCCACATCTGTAAGCCTTCTGCTAAACCCATGCCGACTCAGGCTCCTGACACAGCTTGGAACTGAGTGTCCTGAGCGTTGCCAAGTGTAACCTGGAGACCCTGACAGGTTTTCCCAGACACAAATTTCTATAGATCTCTCATTTCCTTGAATTCAGCAAGATCAGCTTATTTGCAGACTGCTGTCTGAGTTGGTTGGTAGCAAGTGATGAGGGGTTATTGGCCTGCACCTTCCAACATCTTGGCTTGGGAACCTAGAATTGAATTTTATGCCACTGAAGTAATATGCTTATTTTAAGAATAGTCAGTCCTAAGTGTTCTTTCTCATGGTGCATAATAGTTCCAAGGAGCATTTAAACCCTGTCTGTAACGTGCCTCTCTGATGGAGTCTAGCATTTGGCAGAGAAATCCATACTCATCAGGCTGGATTCGTTCCTAACAGCTTCTGAGAAATTGACAGCAGGTTCTACTCACATCTGTCTCCCCTGGAGGCTGCCGCGTGGGTGTAGGGCAGGAATGGGAATTAGATGAAAATGCTGGAGAAAAGGGCCCGAGTCTCTCGAGTTTAGGAGACTATAGATAATGGATTCTACATCGTGGGCAAAACCAACTCCCAGGGAACAAGCCAAGCAGAAGAAAATTAGCAGACATGGAACCTTTGACAAGACATTAAAATTGGGGATATCATGGCCTATACCCAGGATGCTTCACTTATGAAATCAGATGCCCCAAGTCAAACAGAGTTCACACCAAACAAAGGCAACAGCATGAACAGGGCTTACCTGGGTATATTTAAAAATACTATACACTGGAACTTCAGGTCCTGGATCTTTGGGGTGAGATCTGTCCCATCACACTGCAGCAACCAAAGCAGAGAAAGCGGGGCTTCTGAAGTAGTCATGTGTCTGACAGCCTCATCCAAGATAACTGGGTTGACAACAGCATAGAGCATGGAATTCTTTCCCTTGCCCCCCACCCCCAGAGTGAATGCCAGCTACTATGACTGAAATTTATGCTGAGCTTAACTCTGTAGAACAGGGGTTTAGCTTTGGTGTTGATCTGATTTAATATAAGAATAAAACTTGACCAAAACAGTTTTTCACTGTTCCAATATTCAAAGCAGATACTGTCATCCATTGCCTTGAACTATTGTTGGACATTTAGACAGATAGTTCTAACATTTAAAGACTACACACGCTTCAAAGACGAAGCCAGCAGCATTCCCCACAGTAATCAATTGATCCAAACACAGCACGAGCATGGCCATTTGTTTCCTTTCCTGCCTCAAATAATGTTTATTTTGAACCTAAGGAACATGTTTTGAATTCATTATCTGAAAGTCTTCAAGGGGTCTATTCTAAATTGATATTACCTGTCCCAGATCCTCTTTTGTTTGCTACAGGGTGAAGCCAGTGTCCCAGGTGTAAGAGCTCATAAACTCCTGTACAGATGTGAATGTGGATATTAACACCGGGTCGATAAAACAAAACAGTGTCAAGTGATCCTCTCTTACAAATCTAATCTCTTACAAAACTGGGTGGCACTTCTGAGATTAACCTGTTGGGATTTGGACATTATCTTGGTCTCAAGGGCCCCTTGATCATTTCCCTTAGAAGCCTTGTCCACAGCTCTACTCCACATAATCTGAATATACCCCAGTTTTCACAAATGATCTCAAAAATAATCACCAGGGAACCATATGGCTATAAACAAAAGATTTCCACAAGTAATTTAGAAAGAAATCAAGTTCTAGATAGTGACCAAAGATGTTTTAGAGTACTTCCAATAACCTAAGATCTTCCAAATCACTTACGGGTTTCAAGCAGATCCATAAATGACTATGCCCATGAAGGAAGCATAGAAGAATTTTATTTAAATGATCAAGAGTGTAAACAATAACAACAACAAAATCCCTTACATTCAAATACAGGATGCTGTGCTGTGTTGCTACATACATTACAAAAAAAAACTACAATAGTAAATAACCAATAAACTTGGACCCAAACTCATTTTTAAATATTCTAGCCTTTCCTCCTGGGTAATATGAAAGTTATAGGAGCTTATCAAATTATTTAAAGATATATAACATATAGTATTTTACTATTTTACCATGTCAATGCATGAAAATGTACAGTTCTCTAGAACATCAGTAATTGGTGTTTTCCCTAATTCAAACACACAAAAGAGAAAACATCTGCTTGCAAATACAGTTCTGTATCCATTCTAGTGTGTTGATAAATCAAGCAATAGCCAGTAAATAGTGTGATACATAATGTTCTCTTTGTGCTTTGTGCTTTCTTAGTCTAGAATTCGTATACACACACTTACAACCACCTGACTTCTGCGTTACATATTAGATACTGACTTCACCCATGACAAAGATTAGATGGTCTGTTTTATATACATCTGATAGAGTTAGGTTGTGAAGCATTCCTCAAAAAGGCTCATGTGAGCCTTGGGCCCAAGCTGGTGACACCATTACGGTGTGACTGGATCATGAGCATGTTACTATGCTGCTGAGTTCACACTGAATAAGATGTTAGGGGGTGTGGTCTATTTGGAAATAGTTCATTCAGGGTTTGCCTTGATGAGCGCATCAGTCAGATTCTCTCTCCCCCTCTTCTGCCTCCTCTCTTTTCCTTTCGTTGGCCTTCCCATCCTCCCTTCTTGGACACCATGAAGCAAGCAGATCTGATCCCTATGAACAGCTCTCCTCCCCTCATCCCTTCCACCATGAGCATCTCTGCTTCCCTCAGCCTTTCTACCCTGAGAAGATCTGCTCCCCTCACTCTGATCTCTACCGCCGTGAAACTGTGCCTCACCTCAGGGCCAGAAACAACACTGCTTTGTACAGGAGCTGAAATTCCCTGAAGGAATGCCTAGGTTAGCTAATACCAGCAATACTTAACCCAGCCTCCGTTGATTTCAGAGATTCATCTTCCATGCATATTTTGCGATAGATTACAGACTTTATGTTTTTATGATAAGCAACTGAAATCATACAGTGTTCTGAGTACTTATAGGGTTACAATGAAAAGACATAGAAATTCTACAGTAAAATTTAGTAAGAGATCCAAAGCAGGGCAGATGTTAATGCTGATACAGCAGCACCAGCAGCTTTGCAAATGTTTGCCTATCAGATTCCTATAATTTTCCACTTTCCCCCCTCTTTTGAGATTGGTTCTCACAAAGCTGTTCAGACTGGTTGCTGGCCTTGAATTCATAATCCTTCCAGCTCAGTCTTCCAAATATTTGGGACAACTGACAGAAGCCACTGCGCACAGCCTAGCATCTTTAAAATGAACCTTGCATCTTATAAGAAAGAGTAAGTCATTTCTACTACATTAGCACTACATATAATAGTTTATAAGCATTGTAAATATCATCAGTGTCCCACAAAATATCATTCTATCACAATCCTGAATTGTTTTATTTTCAATGATCATTTCCATTTTTATTTGATATAGAAGTAATTTATTTAATATAGTTAGAATGTTTTTTAAATGTTTTGCAGGACTTGGCAGTGAATACTTCTCAGTACATGAGAAGTGGAAAAACAAAGATCAAAAGTTCAAGGACATTTTGGCTAAATAGCAAATTTAAAGGTAGAATGGGCTACAAGAGATGCTGTCTCAACAAACTATAAAGAACAACCTAGAAGCAGATATATCTCATTTTGTAAACATAAATGTGGATCTCATGCTAAAGACTGCTTTTTATTTTAATTGTCTCATTCTCCTCTATCATTTCTCTTAATCTCAATAACCTACTATCATCTATTTTTATATACATGTACACATACACATGCAGGCACACACACATATTCTACATTACCTTACCTGCCTCATGATAGGTGAAGGTGCTGCCATATTTCTCCATATATATATATATATATATGTATATATATGTGTGTGTATACATTATATATGTATATATATTTAATCATGCAGCCTCATTTTCATTAATTCTTAAAACTATGCAAATCTAAGTTATATTCATCTCTTCATAATCTCTGGTATTAGAAGAAACAGTTTGTTTTTCTTAACTGACTTGATGGTATATTACAATGTACCTCTCAGGTGAGACAGTTTTAACTTTTTTTTTCCTCCAGTGGACACATAACCTGAATTAGAGACTTAAAAAGAAATACCGTGAAACATCCATTCAGTGTGAGGAGCCCTGACTAGGCTGGAGAGCAAAGTCTGCATAAAGTAAGTGTTTGTTGCAAAATGGAGATTCCAAGCCGCGCATTGGTGACCTATGCCTTTAATGCCAGCACTCAGGAGGCAGAGGCAAGCTGATCTCTGTGAGTTCGAGGCCAGCCTGGTCTACAAGAGCTAGTTCCAGGACAGCCTCCAAAACAATACAAAGAAACCCTGTCTTGAAAAAATAAAAAAACAAAAAAATAAAATAAAATGGAGATTCCTCAGAAAAAAATCTGGAACAATTTTTGGCCAAGTATTTGTTTATACCGGAAGAGCCAGCTCGCAGCATTTCTTCCAGGAAGATTTTCTGAATCCTAACCTAAGCAGGATAACCATTCCTCTTGTGCTATCAGTGTTCTGTATGTATGACTGAATAATGGCCTATGAGTCTGCGGTGATTATGCGTCCTCCTCCATGATTTCCTCAGGAGTAAAACTTTGTCTTTATTTCACTCCAGCAACAAAGACAGATACTGACATATGGTGAGAACTCATATACATGGGCAAATGAGCTCGTCTACATGATTTGTAAACTATATGCAGCCCAGGGATTAATATACACATCAAATGACATGGGGGTGGCATTCATAGTCACACACAAATTAAATGAACCTATACAGCCAATACTTACAACAACTTTGACGTGTTTAGATAGATCTCTAGAACTTCTCTGTAGGAAATCGGAAAAGGCTGCCTACACCACAAAGGAGAAAGGAGTGCTTTGTTAGGTGGTTTCCACCAAATCCTTGCTTCAACATGACAGTTCCCCAACATTCCACACTATGAAAAAATATTTTAAAAATTCTCCTATGGCCCAAGGTAAAATAAGGTAGTGTCTGTGGGAATCCTCTTTGTTTACAGACTACAATAAAACTTAAGATTATAGGAGGATATCAAAAAATGGATGGATGGTTCTCGGAGTCACTGGGCATCCAATGCTAAGATCTCCTTCAACCTCCCTCAGGAAAGCTCTGCGCTGCCCCTTACTCTTTAACCCTACCCAGAGCTAGCCATTTAAGCTGCACGTTATTGTCACATTAATGTCTTCTGTTCTCATCTCTACAAACTCCTAGGAATGTCCCCGAAGAGTAAAGAAAGCCCTGCTCCCCCCACCCCACCCCACCCCACTGCCACCCGGTCTCATATGAGTTTCCACCAAAAAAGCTTCCAAGTTCCGCCAATTTCTCAACCACAGTCACTGGGTACACATCCCGCTAAAAAAAACTATATCCTGAGCTAAGGTTGTCTCTGATGGATAGCATTAGCTATCAACTCAACACAGTTTACAATCACCTGGGAGAGGAGACTCAGTGAGGGGTTGTCTAGATTAAGTTGGCCTGCGCACTCTTGTCTATGCGGGCTATCTTGATTAGTGGGAAGACAGGCTCACTGTGGGTCGCACCTTTCCCTGGGCAGGGGACCCGGGACTGTAAAGGGGTGGAGTATTGGTGTAAGCAGCATCATGTGTGCCCTCATCACTTGCTCGCCTGCTCTTGATTGTGGATGTGTAACAGCCAGCTGCTTAACTTCCTTCCTGCCACCTTGGCCACCCCCAGTGACAGAATGTAACCTAGAATTGTGAACCAAATGGACACTTTCTCCCTTAGATTGCTTTCTGTCAAGGTACTTTAAACAGAAATAGGAAGCAAACTAAAACATTGGCGCTTTTATCCTTTAACTATTTTTCTCGATTCCCTCATTGATACCTCTTTCACGTTGCTTCCTAAAAGTCACTGACACTTGCAGCACCTCAGGAGCTTAAAATTCAGTCATGATCAACACCAAACCCCTTGTCGACCACTCATTTTATAAAACATTCCCAGCTGGGAGGTGGTGGCACACACCTTTAATACCAGCACTTGGGAGGCAGAAGAGGCAGGTAGATCTCTGTGAGTTCAAGACCAGTCTGGTCTACAGAGCGAGTTCCAAGATAGGCTCCAAAACCACAAAAGAAACCCTGTCTCAAAAAACTAAATAAACGGACAAACAAATAAATAGTCCCTCTCTTTCATTCCTTGGTGGAGGCTTTAAAGAATAATTATACATAAACATAGACGGAGGTGTCCAGCATTACTCATTTTGACGTAATTAGTTTCTTTAGTATCCAGTGAATTTGGCATTAAATAATAATCATGAAGTGAAATAAATACTTACCCCTGCATAGAACATTTTATTTCGAAAACGACTATTGAATTTCTCTGGATTTGCTTCTGTGAAGAGGAGAGGTAGTTTTGTTATAGAACCTTTAAAAAAGATTGGCACTGTTCCCCTCCTGCCTGGCCTCTACCTTGAAGACCCACCAGATCCGACTCTGCTGTGACCACTGCCTCAGTTCCAGGCCAGTAGCTCCAGTTACCCCGTGACACAGGTGTAGCTCTCGGGTGCTAAAAAGTTCAGCTCAAGCCATCAGCTTTGGTGTGAATTGGGAGTGTCTGTAAGGCTGATCATTGATCTCACCTATCCCTGCTCTGCTGGAATGCCTGAGTGTGAGATCCAGGAATGGTGCTTTGAGGAGCTCCCCAGGTGCATTCAAAACATTAAAACTATAGACTTTTTAAAATTTGCTTTGAATCAGAGAATCAGAGGGATTTGGGGCAAGGATGGACAAGAAGTAAGGGTTCTGGGGGTGTGGTTATTCTCACTGACATCTAGGAGGGTGTGGCTTTCTGTAAACTATGTGCAAAGCTTCTAAGTGCAGTTAAACAGGGTGGATTTGAAGGAACATGAATGGAAATTCGTTTTCACATTTTGAGAATCCTCTGAACCCACTCCCTTACTCGTAATAGACCTTGGAAGAAATAGAATGAATGAGGAAAAAAGGTAGGGAGGGGGTGAGGAGGTGGGGAGTGAGAAAAAAGGGTTGGAGAAGGGGAGGAGAAGGGGGCCTCTGAAATGACTTATATTACAGAAAGGTTCAATGATCTAATTCTCAGTTTGACTCCACTGTTATTTAGCTCAAAGAGTAAAAAAAAAAAAAGATAAAGCAATCCATATTGGAGAATTTTCACAGGAACTCAGGAGCTATAGAAATGTCTACGTGAAATGTAATTTCCTCGAATGTTTCTCCCTGATGCAATTCTAAAGCTTCACTAAACAATCTACTGGTCTACCTTAGCCCTCTGCCTTTATACCCACCCGCTAGTAGTCTCTTCTTTTTTTTTAAATAACTTTCTTTTATTTAGAAACAATCTTATTTTATATATCAATCCCCCCCACTGCATTCCCTCACCTTCCCATGTTCCCAAACCCCCCACCAAGCCTCAGCCAATAAAGGCTAGGTTCATAACCAAAGAAATTAGTAGTTTCTTCTTAGGTTACTAAGACTAGAGGAAACTCTCTGTTCTAATACTGTCTAAAAACAGTATCTAACAGTCCCTGTCAAAACAAGGGAATGTAAGAGTTTACTCACACAGACTGATCCTAAGAAAGCATATAGAACCTCAAGTACAAGTCCTACATAATGCTTAGGAGATTATTTTCAGGATTTTTAGAGTCAACTAATAATTGCACAGGATCCAGAAATTGGGTAAAGAATTGCAAACTTAACTCATAAGAGAAGGGACTGTTTGTAGATTGGTTCTCAAAAGCCAACTTCAGCTATGGAGTTTCTAAATCTCAAAGCTTTCGTAAATACTGTTCTACTCAACAATGCACTGATCCTATACACAAAGCAACAAAACATTATGAGGAATAATAAACAAGATATAAAACAGTGTTAATTGTGCGCTCTCTCTCTCTCTCTCTCTCTCTCTCTCTCTCTGTTACTCTTAACCTCTTGTTAGGATTCATTATTTTATTATTTATTTATTTATTTATTTATTTATTTATTTATTTTGTGTGTGTGTGTGTGTGTGTGTGTGTGTGTGTGTGTGTGTGTATCTACAAAGGCCAGAAGAGAGTGTCAGATCCCTTGGAACTGGAATTACACATTATTGTGAGCCCCTGATCTGAGCACTGAACTTGTATTCTTAACTACTGAGCCATTTCTCCATCTGTGTTACTGACTTTCTTTGAATCAACATGCCTCGGTTCTACTTTCATTTTCAGCTGCATAAGCTTTCTTGTTTTATAAAGCCAGAGGTAAAATGAGATTTTTTTTGCACAGTGTCTGAGTACATGGGCTCTAGTTTAAAAACAAACAAAAATATCCAATCTAGCTATTCAACAAGTTATTAAAAAAATGGAAGTGACTGCCAGCACAGTTCTGGTGTAGAAGTTTCTCAACATACGAATGCCCACAGCTAACCACTAACATTTATGTGCTTTATAACTTATGGTCTGGAAATATTCACAACTCTATGTGGTTTTTCTGAGACTCGATTTTAATAAAACCAAAAAGAAGATTAATTTTCTCCAAAGATAGACTATTCCCCATAAGACCACCAAAATGGGATAAAATGGAGAAATAAACTGAATTTTTAGTGACTTAACTCATACCTTTAATGAAAATGCTCGCTTCAGAGGTAATTTAGCTGGGAGTAATAAACTTTAAAATAGGTACACCGAGACACCTAACATTCAGAGAGCTGTCAAAAAGACATAAGAGGAAGGGATAGGTAGTCATTCATATGTCTTGGCCTTAAAGGATTCAAGGGGAATAATCCCAGGATAATGCACTTCCAAATGGCTATTTCGTAAACACTCTATTTCCTAAGCCCTGTTCCTAGCCTCATTTCTCTCTTTTGCATCTTCCATTTAAGCAAAAATGAGACTCAGAAAGACACCCAGCTATAGCGTAGAGGAAGCTCAGCCTACTGCTGGAACTGGGCTAGCTCCCACAAAGGCCAGGCCATAGAGGGAGCAAAGAAGCACAGGATGGCCCACAGATGCCCACAGCAGTGCTCAGTCATTTCCATTGTTGCGAGAAGGATGGACTAGATGGCTGCCTGTGCCTGGGTGCATCACACAAAGCCGATGTACCTTTAAGAAGAACCAAGAGCATGAACAGGCCACTATACCTTCCACCCTGCATCAAGAAAGAGAGAGGGGATAAAGCTTTGGGGAAGGGGCAGTGAGAAAGCTCAAGGGTTCATTCCTTCAGGGAGTTATGTCTCTGCGAGGTAAACATGAAAGGCTAACAGAATTGACACCACTGCTAGAAGGATCTGTGGCTAATTGCTTGAATTCCTGGGTGTGAGACAGGAAGACATGCTCACTGTGCTCTACTCCATTATTCTGTTTACAATCATCAATGGGACTTTTATCAGTTTCCTGTTCCTAGCATAAGAAATCATGACCGATTTGGAATAGTCAAACCCCATCATTGATTTGCTCATGATTCTCTTGGTCAGAATTCTGGAATGGGCCCCACCCCCTGCAGCCCCTGCTTGAGGGTTTGAAAAGGTGACACACTGTGACACCCTCACTGAGAGGTCCTGGGAACGTCTTCTGGTTATTCGGGTTGTTGGTAGAGTCTACATCCTGGAGGCTGCAGAACCGGAGCTCTCTGGTGGCTGCTGAAGGGCGTTCATCCTCACTCATTCACCGCTTCACTGTCTGCACCCATTGGGTTCTGATCCCAGCCACAGTCTGATGGGGAAGTCCTGTGTCTATGTCAATAAAGCACTGTTGGCCAATAGGAAAGCAAGGTAGGTGGGACTAGGAGTCAAGGAGAACTCTGGGAAGGAGAAACATCATCATGTAGCTGCCATAGGGGTAAGAAGTCCAGACCCTTTTCTCCGGTAAGAGAAATACTTAGATTAACAATTATGGAGTAAATACTTAAGTCAGAGCCAGCCAGTAAGAAACAAGCATGGCCAACAGCTTCATAATTAATACAGCGTCTTGTGTGTTTATTTGGGGACTACAACGCGGCAGAGCCCAGGCAACTGGTGGGGAAAAACCAAAGCGGCTGGCAAGGAAAAAGCTTCTCTCAACAACAGTCAAAACTAGTACATCAAGTCCTCATACGCTGAATCTCTCTGACTTGTTCCTCTACTTCTGATTTTAGGGACTCGCACGATTATACTGGCCCAGGCGAATAATCTCAGACTGTCTTCTGACACTGAAGTCAGCTTTGCTTGTCTGCGTGAAGTTCTTCTGTCACACTGGGCAAAGACCATGGGAAGCAAAACTGCTAAAGTCCACATTCCAGCCCTGTGACTCACATCCCTCCTCTAGTTGGAAAAGGTGCTTAGTACCTAACAGGTCCTCAAGGTTCCCAGTTCATCATAGCATCATCAATTTAAAAAAATCCCAATCTCGTCTAAATCTCATTATCTCAAAACTTCACTTTTATCTGCAGTATCCAAATGATTTGGATCTAATCATAATCTATTTATAATGATGATGAGTTCCGGGTATAATCCATTAAACTGATTAGAAATGTTAGTCCCATCCTAAACACAGCACAAAGGCATGGTATGTGCCATCAGACTGGGGACCCTAAAACTCTGCTTCTGTCCAGGATTGGTCTTGCAGGCTTAGCTGTCGGTCCATTTTAAGCGTTTATTTCAGACTAGATGTTACCTTCCATGTCTTGAGCAGGTCTGATGAAAATATATTAGGGTATTTAACACCATTTATTCATCCTTTCTAAGTTTTGTGTTTTCTCCTCCTCTTTCTGCTTCAGCTGTTAGTTGCCTTACAAACATTGCATCTATAACAAAATCTTCAAAATAAAAGAGAGTGCAAGCAAACATTCAAAAGTTCTGCATATAGAAATATTTACAGAGCACAAAGCCGCACACATAAACCATATCCAAATTTCTAGCTAATGAAAGAACATACTTTCAATAACCTTTAGAATTACAAAGTGTCTCAAAGATGAGTTAGTTCTCAACAAAATGTTCTACATGCTTCTTTCTCAACAGGCTTGAAGACAATACACCTCTGTAGTTAAACTGTTCTGAGAATTATTATCACTCGGTTTTGTTGTCACTTATCACCACCTAACATCACCACATTTCTCAGAGGGCCTAGTAATATTTAATAATTGGGTTCACACGCAACATACATTGGTTCATCTCAGATATCCCATTTATATCCAACTATTATATCTCAAAGATCAACATATTGATCTTCTAAACATGCAAATTTGGAAGGATTTTTGGACACAATTAGTTGGCTAAAACCTTCCCAGGTTACAAAGAGACTCCTCTCTAAAGTAACCCATGTGAACAGTATCACAGAACCTTTCCAGTGCAGAATCCTGCCATGGGTGACAGTAAGAATGGAGGCAGGTTTACATGAGAGTATGAGGGGCAGAAAG